CCTGTTACAGAATCCGGTGGATCCCATCGCAGAAGACGCAGACACTGCACTGCCTAATCTCCAACTGTATTTCTGGATGCCTCGCCTCCACGTCATGTGTTTACTCTCATGTGATTTTCTCCCGTGCAATGGCAACTGCAACTCAGGATCGGTGAGATAGACGTCCGTACTGCAAGCGCAGTGCATGTTCTAGCCGGGTTCAGTTTGTCAAGAAATTTTCGATTGAGACATTCCCACACACACGACCGCCTAGCTAGATGTTAGTAATCCATTCTCATCAACCCGTCTTCGCCGAACTACGTAAAACTCGACGGTCCAACACCTGCTACCAACGGAAGTCCTCCAAACGCGAACTGAAATCTTGGCAACCGTAGAGCAGAACTGATCGCAATATGTTTCGAGTTGTGCTCGGCAATTCCTGTAGGTCTCTTGGTAATGTGTATTCAGTTTGGTGGTAGGCAGCTTTGCTGTCGTCCGGTTCAATACCATGCCTAACCTAGCGGGGCCTTATGTAGTTCGCCACTTCAAGTCCCGGGACTTAGGTCACCGGTTTCCATCACTGAAGAGCAGGTCCTCGTGACTATCGGGTTCGCCCCGTCTGCTGTTCATCACACGAAATTGTGTAATAAAAAGAAGCTTCAAGAAAACCGGTACGCATCTTGTTCCTTGGGGTTAGGTCACGCAGGCTGAGGATATATGACATGTAATAAATTGCTTATTTCCATGGAAAGGGAAAATTCACGGTTGCTTGTTCGATTCACTGGGGCACGTGAAAAACGCTCTCGCGGTTTATTCCTAACTGTCCACCATACCACCCCCCAGAGTTGGTACTGAAAAGTATGTTGAACATCAAGTCGAGTCGATCAGTCGCTGGTAGTAGTAGTGGTCTGGTTTCCTGATTTGATCCATATCGCAGAAATTTTGAATACGTTATGAATTTTTAGAGAAATCACACTCTACGAGTGCGGTACACCATGTTGATTAAGTTCGAAAATCCATTTTCACACTGGACTAGCTGTTCACATCAAGTTTGAGCATCTAGATAACCGATACTACTTGCTTGCTTAAGAAACCCTTCTCATTGCCTTCTCGTGACGGAGGTGTTTTCCCACCAAAATGCGAGGACGTAAGGACGCCATCCGGGGCTATAACCGGGTTGGTGAATCAGTGGTACTCCACCTAGAGGAGTTGGCCAAAAACTGATTTCAAACCAACCAAGAGGAGGCGTACAAACCACACGTACCTTACGGGTTGTGGCAGTGGTCACCAGCTCGCTTGGGTATTGAGGTGCATTGGGCACCTTTGACGTCTGACTGTGTCCGAAAAGGCGAATGATTCGATGAAATGGACACCGCCTCCCAATGGACTGCGGTTTTCACACTCGGCCCCGCTGCCTTGCGGGTCAGGCTTTGACTCGTCAAAGGCTCCGGTTGTGAATTCCTCAAGAAAATTCACTTGCCTTGGCTTGGACAACGTGGGAGTATTCAGCCCATAAGCCAATCATGGACCTTTTTTATAAAGATTATTATACCATGATTTGCCCGCCACACAGTCTGTCCTCAGACAAGTGTGAAACATACAATGTACCAGACGTACGATCGCAAATAGCGATTAGCACTTGACCCTGAACAGTATTGCTGAACTGAGATCACTACTGGAGAGCGACAGCCAGAGTGTAATCTATGATCGTTAAATAAAGCGCAAGTCGAAGATACAAGAATAAAATAATGACATCCCAGTCTGATCGTGTCTCACTCCACGATTGGTTGATCGGACACTTGCTGTCTCATTCGTTCTGCAGTCACCCAATGTGGACCCTGCCTGCCTTTAGGGTCCCGAACGTGTTTGTGGTGTTGCGTTAATCCGCAGGCGGCTATACGGGTTCTGTACGCTCCGTCCTTGCAGAGCGGCAGTAGCAAGTTCTCAAACAGACTTTCAGTTCCGTTTTTTACAACTCTTCATCATACACTTTCTTGACGTGTTTTTATCGTTACTGTCTTTCGGTTGCCGATTTCGATAGAACAGTAGAGGGTAGATCGGAATGTTGAGAGCAGAATCAAGAAGAAAGAGGATTCAAGTAGACTAGGATCGCAAGCTTGACGAGTAAATTATGTTTACAACACTCAGCCACATCACTCCGTGTTCAACGGTTGGTTCCAATGGCCCTAAGGTTCT